TAATGACTTCTTAACCTATGAAATCTTGGATGAGGACTCCAATTTCGGACTACCTTATCAAGGACTTGAACTTTCCCATCTAGTGCCCACATTCTAAATAGTGTACATAGTGTGTATATATCTTGTATCTTTATTACACTTTACTTCATTTAATTTGTATTTGTATGTATTTTATCTACTCAATGCTTTTTCTTCACAATTGTTAGTCATTTATTATGACTCCCCACTTAGTCACGCCTAAACTGGGCCTGTTTACTTATTAGTGAGCTCTTGCGTTGCTGGACTTTCTGTCCTTTATCTGTCCTGGCTCCTCCTTACGGCGGACATTATATGAAGATAGTATTATGTTATTGTGGCCATTGGCATAAATTTGATTGAGCCAGATAAACTAGTAATCTCAGTGGTACTCTGGCGGTAGGTTTATCAGTCAGTCAGTCAAATATTGTGTTGAATTTGACAGGTGGCTTATTTTTTACGCTTAAATATTGTATATTTCTGTATATAAAGCAAAAATGATTAACAAATATTTTGTTGAATTTGGCACTAGGCTAATTTACAATTTCAAACTAAATCACTTAAAATTAATTTGATCACATAAATAAATAGTTGAAGAAATATTAATAAGAGAAAAATATTTTTTATGTATTTAATCTTAATACACACAATTCAAATTTTTCAGTATCAATATCCAACTCAGAATTTGTTTAGCAATTATTTCATTTAGCTATTCGCAAATTGGTATGAACAGCCTATATATCATCTCATCTTTAATATAGTTTTTTTTTTGGGGGGGGAGGGTTAGATAATACCATATTCATTTCCACCTATAAAACACTCAAAGCAACATTCTTTTAATAATGAGATAGTTGTTTCTGGTCTAATTTTTGAATGAATGAGGACACTCACTTTCGCCGACAGGTATGAGTTAGATCGATACTTAATAAAATTTTTAGCAACTTATAGGATTTACAGGAATTTTTAATTCAGTTTATACAGGCTTTAGATATTGAATGAACTTACATGTCAAATCTTACATGCAATCTTACATGTCAGTTTATATTTAAGATGTAAGAGAACGATCAAACATAAGAGCAAGCAAATGAAATCGATTATAAAATAATTATTCAGCAATTGTTTGAAATAAAGCATCCTAGTTCAAAATATTAATATAGAAATGACTAAATGAGGAGAAAATTTTTACATATATGCTTAAGCATAATGTGCTGAGATGGCTCAGAGGGGATGCTCAAGTATGCACAAAAGAAATCAAACTGGATGCTTCTCATTTCCTTGGTTCTAAGGAAATAAATTAAAGATTTCAGTTGTCATACAACAGTCAGAAACTAGAAAGAACAGTAGTACACTAAGTAATACTTCGTTTGCAAAAATTTTGGTGCTACTTTGGTAGATGGGTGCACGGATTTTTGGCGATTAACTTTGATTACAATTGATGGTGCGGTTTTTACAAACGTCAGCCATCTTGAAAAACACTGTTTTTACGTATTTTGCGCATAGTAAAGTATTCAAAACTTAAAAAAAATAAATATCGTTAAAAATAATGGATTAATTTTTTGTTGAATACGTTGTTTTTTAAGATGGCAAGCAAATGTAAATAAATACATTTACTACGAGTAAAAAGTACTGAAGTAAGATTAAATTATTACTTTCATATAGCAAAGAAATAGAATAAAAACACCAGGCTAATCTTTGGAATATGGTAACAGTATGTTTGGCGACATTTTGGTAAGGCGATAAAGGTTACTAGCTAGGACTTTAGCAGTGTACATGGATAAAGTCAAGAAAGTGTGCAGTGCCATTTTTGTGCAATTCCGGGATGTCTTTTTTAAAGTGAAAATAGGTCGACGTGTACATGGATGATACCGTGTATGTGCAATTCTTATAAACACGGCAAACAGTGGGCGATTCTGCAGTTTCTCACCTAATCTTCGTGATGATTAAGCACTTTTGTTCCATAAAAAGTTCTAGCATGAGCGTAATTCGGTTAGCAGATTGTTGGAAAAAATGTTGAGTAAAAAAAAAAAACATGCCTTTACTTTGTGAAAACAAAAGGGCGTCCAAAAAAAAAAAAAAAAAAAAAACAACTAGCAGGTTGCTGTAGCAGGGTTGGTCAACATATTTTCGCCAAAAAATCGCCAAGTTTCCATAATCCAAAGATTAACCAAACACCGCTATAAAAACATTGTGCCAACGTTTAATTGGATTAAAATATTACGTAAACTGAATATTGAATTAAAACCCTCATACCAATGCTTAAAAGAATTAAAATATTACTTATATTCAAATACTTTAAGTAAATAAGAACGCTTTGTACACTACAGCTAAAATGACAGCAATTAGTTTATTGCTGGTAAAAATTGAGGGATGTCTGATATTTTTTTTTTTACCCTTTTTTTTACAGCGGTTATTTCTTCCACCCTGACCACAATACCATATACAGCTGTCCTCAGAATTGGCTTTATAAGGATCTGAATCTGTGATCTGCATTTCTCACACTTCATTGAAGAAGCAATTAGCGAGGTTTTCTCCAAAAATTTAAAATAAATTTCCTCTGACCCTTGTAGAAATTTATACATAAATGTTTGATTAGGAAAGCCAGGTTGGTCAAAATAAGGTCTCAAAGGATTATTTTTTGATTCCGATACCAATAATTCTTGGTATTTACTTAACAACATTAATCTTTGAAAGGGATATATCCGTTTTCTATGAAATGTAAGGAATTCTAAGAGACGAATAATAAAATTTAAAAATGGCGCGATAATGCACAAACATTCAGTAACCAACCAGGGAGCGGATTACAGCTCGTTAATGCACAAATATTCCATAACCAATCAGAGAACTGATTATATCACGCCTAGAATTAAAATTGGTTGATCTTTACATTACGGTAACTTGGCGATTTTTTTGGCGAAATTTGGCGACCCACTCCCCCTACAGCAACCCTCTATTTTTTTTCTCCGCCGCCATTTTGTCTTCACGAAGTAAAGACGTTTCTTTTCTTCTTATTACTGAACACTTCTTCCAACAATCTACTAGCCAAATTACACTTATGCTAGAAATTTTATCAACCAAAACTGCTTAATCATGACAAATTCACTGCAAAATTCGGAAAAAAAAGTGCACAATACCATACACCTTACGCGTTTTTCAAAATAACACATACACATAAACCATGTACACGCCGACTTATTTTTACTTAAAAAAACATCCCAGAATTGCACAAAAATGGCATTGCGCACACTCTTCACTATATCCATGTACACTGCTTTTTCTCATAAATTAAAAATTTCACGAAAATACATGACAATTTTTCTCAATCTTTAAACCCGGTAAAAAGAACATATATGAAATTACCTGATCGCGAAAAAGTATTTACCCTTACAAATATGAAACATTTCCACATATAAAATAAATAAAATATCCAAAAACTTTTACCTCTAAATCATCTATTACATTATTACACGTCACCAACGAATTCATATGAAGCATTACAAATATTTAGTATCAAATATTTAAATTATTTCCATGCACGTTTATTCAACTTAAACGTAAACCAAATTCCTACAAAGCATAAAATTCACAAAATAACCTATCATTATTAAAATATCACTGAACCATGTACACGTCGACTTATTTTACTTAAAAAAAACTCCCAGAATTGCACCAAAAATGGCATTGCGCACACTCTTCACTATATCCATGTACACTGCTTTTATCTCATAAATTAAAAAAATTTCACGAAAATACATGACAATTTTCTCAATCTTTAAACCCGGTAAAAAGAACATATAGAAATTACATGATCGCGAAAAGTATTTACCCTTTACAAATATGAACATTTCCACATATAAAATAAATAAAATCCAAAAACTTTTACCTCTAATCATCTATTACATTATACAATCACCAACGAATTCATACATGAAGCATTACAAAATTTATTTATCAAATATTTAAATTATTTCCATGCACGTTTATTTCAACTTAAAACATACACCAAATTCCTACAAGTATAAAAAATTCACAAAATAACTATCATTTCATTAAAATATAAATTAAATTCAAAAACACCACTTAAATATACATGAGCACATATATTCAATAATAAAATTACCTTACATCCTAATTACTTTAACTAAATCATTGCTAATAACAATTTTTCCCAATAATACCAAATTCCTTTCCCACCTTACATTTCCAACAATGCATAAAAAATAATTAAATACTAACTTACCTAATCTCCTTCAGAATCTTCATTACGTGGCGGAACACTTTTTTTTCATTCTCTTTCAGAATCTTAAAATTACTTATCTTTTCAAAGCAAGATACCAGTAAAATAAATAACATAATAAAACATTTTATTTCTCTCTCACACAACCTTAAAAAACATTTCTTACTATCCTTTTCAATACCACTAAATATCCATTTCGAATTCATTTACTTACGGCCATGGATCCAAAAATTCACAAACACTATTTCACAAACAACACAGAATAAAGCCAAATACAAAATTTCCAGATTTTTTCCCCGATTTCCCCCCTTTTCCGATTAAAGAACCGTAATTCGTCCATTAATATCACATGACATATCCCATGATCTCTCATTTCCCCACACCAAAATAATGCGTAATCGGAACTGAGTACTGCTCACATATTACCAAAGTCCCAGGTGTAACCTTTATCGCCTCCAAAATGTCGCCAAATACCAGTTACCGTAATGTAAAGATCAACCTTAAAATATTAAAATAAGTATCTGTATAATCATTTTGAAAAAAATGCAAAATTAAATTGTAGTTAATGTTTAACAGCCATAAAAAAAATGTTTAAAACATTCGATTAATTTACAGATATTAAACCAATTACTTTTAAGCAAGGTGATGTCATTGATTACATCATATACAACATAAATTATACAAAATATCATAAAGAATGAAATTTTTAATTAAAATAAAAAAGCAAAATTAAATTGATTTTTAATATTTAGAAACCACAAATAATATTCAAAACACAAAATTTATGCATAATAAAGTGCATTATTTTTTAAATAAAATGACAACAAAGTATCAGTTACCATAAATAACTTGTCCAGCAATAGGTTTAAAATAAGCCGTATCACTCGCCAAAATCCATGCAACCGTCTAGCTAAGTAGCACTTTTTAAGTCTAACTATCTGCTCTGTATCTGTAAATGTTTAAACTGTCTGCTCTGCATCTATAAATGTTTAATGTAGCTTCACTTCTCATTACAAATGTAAATATCCAAAAAAATTTCATTTTATGCCTAAAACTAATGCCTATCATGTTATTAATTTTTAAACTCATAAAATACTTGCAAGGTAATAATTTCATTAGAATTTAACAGCATAGCAAAAAAAATATATTTTGTCAATATATATCACTTATAAAGCAATTAACATCAGTAAATTTGCATTTTACCTTTACGATTGCTAAAGTGAAAATTCCATTGACTAGTTTAATTTTCATTGAAATAAATTTTATGTAATGATATATGCTTAATATTATACAAAATTATTAATTTAAATTCAAACATTTGTATATTTAGCATAAACACCATCATTTTTATTTAAAATATTGATATATAAATGCTTCAGCATTACTGTTTTTGAGATAAAATATATTAATCTTGCCTATGCTAAATAATGATTTTTATATATGCTTATCAAACTATTTTATGATCATTTAAATAACAGCAAATTATTCACTTTATCATAGAACATTTCCTTTCAGCCCTTTTTAATATATCATGAAATAAATGAAGGTATCTTAACCTGTTTTATAAAAGTATAATAAAATACATGGAATAAAGACTGCAAATTAAAAATATGTTAAATAAAGCACAAATCAATACAATATTTAATAACACAAATTAAGAATAAAAACAGTCATAAATAATTATTTCATACCAGATATAGATTTTATATAAAACGCACATACGCAACATTGTTTAACCAATGCTAAATTCACATTAACTTCAACTTGAAATGTTATGTCACATACAAAACATGCACACCATAAATACAAACCTTTCACTATATAAATATTATTATTAATACAATGTTGAAGATATACATATACAGAATACCAATTTGTACAAAAAAAATGACTAAGATTGCAATAAATTTCCCCAAAAGTATAAAAACTAAAGTATATATTCATCAAGAAGGAAATTAAGAAAGCAAACCTTTTAATAATAATGTTCAGGAATTATGGGGGGGGCGTTCATAAATCAGGTTAATAACATATACAAGGCATTCAGGAACTTGCTCTGATCATTTCTGTTAATATAAGTAAATGATGGGCAAAAAAGGTCTTGAGAGATTGAAATTCTAGATTGTTCAGCAGCTTGCTCAAAGGCTTTGCCAAAGAAACTTTTTGGTGATGCTTCTGATAGTGGTGGAATACCTACTACAAGACAGCGGTCAGGTTCATATTCATCATGAGCAAACAGCAGCAAAGGCAGTGAGCCAGCACGCCGATTACGTGAACTGTTCACATGTGCTTCCAGTAAAAAATGAGCAAGAAGTGAAAGACATCCGGGGTGACTGAAGTATTTGTTGTCATGTGTGGTATTCGGTACGATGGCATACAAAAATGGACCTGCATTCACTACATGTTTCATATTAATGAATGACTGAACTTGCTGAAAAATAGCAACCATACGTAGCTTTGCTAACTCTATTCCCTTTTTAATTGAATTTACTTCACCTTTGCTTAAAGCATACAGAGTATCTAAAAATCTATCTGTAGGAGTCTTTTCTTTATCTGTAGCCTCTAAAAGAGCATTAAGTGCCAAAACAACATCAGTAGCACAAAACTTTCCCTTGAAACCAAATTGTGATACAAAAGAACCATACACTATTTGATCAAGTTTGTACTTCTCTGCCATATCTTCCATCCAAGCACCAACATTGTTTCGGCATTCCATGTCCATTGCAGTAAATTTCTGCTTACATTGTGATAATGGCAGGCCAATCTCAACAAGGAATTCATACATTTTTTTGGTACCTTTGAAGCTCCATAGTTTAAATTTGCAGGCAGTATATTTTGAATACAGCATGCTTTCATATAATGTCCAATGTCTATAAAGTGCAAGATTCAAATCTTTATCAAAAGAAATTTTCATGTTACAAATAGCATTTACAGAACCATTCTCGATTCGGTTATGACGCGATACATGACTCTGCATTGAAGCAGCGGCTAAAATATACTTTTCTTGCTCTGTTTTATTCATAACAAATTGTTCGGCGAGACCAACAAGTGCCCACCACAATAGATCATTGTTGTCTCTCGACATTTTCCATGCAAGATCGAACATAATTTGGGAGGATGGTTCTCCAAAATAACTTATTTGATTGTAATCAAACATAATTTTATCTCTATTTTCTTCCCATAACCTTCTCTCGCGACGCTTTAAAATAGAAGCTTCACTTGGTCGTCCACCATCATCATCCTCGTCTTCTGAATCAGAATCCTTAAAAACATCATCATATTGTGGAACACCTTCACAATCACTGGATTTCATAAGCAAGCGAATTTGTGATTCACTATATATGTTATAAATGTTAACAGGTCTGTGACTATCACAGATAAAAAAAACTACTTCTTCGTTAGGCTCTAGAACATCAACAATATCAATAGTCGAACCACAGTTTATTAAAATCACATACTTTGCTTGATCTTTATGGCGTGCAAAAGATTCTCTCAAGGATGTTTTACCATAAACAGGGATCAAGGTGTACAATACATTATCACAATGGAATAAATATTGCAATATTTTGCACGCACATATAGCGTCCACGTCGCACCCCACCAAAAGCAGTACTCGATTTCCGGCAATAACATCATAAAAGTCAGTTCTAATGTTAGATACAAACATTAAGCCGATATAGAAGAAACTTCTAATCACAGGTGCACAATTACTGGCAAGTTATTTTAGTACAATAGGTCACACATTTTACGATAAGCGTAACAGAATTTAACCGCCAAAACTTTAAACTTAAAACACAGTAAATATTCGTGGAAGTGTTGCCAGCATGATTTCAAGAAAAAAGAGTATCAGATCCAAGGTCGGTAGACGAAAAAGTTAGCTCACTAATGTTAAAAAACAGAAGTGCGTTCTCGCCCTCTATTGGTTTAGACGTCACTGAAGGTACACTTCCTCACTTTCCACCTCCTAATATAGACCTTACATTGATTTTAGCTGAGATTAAATTTGTACGCGACTGTGAGAATAATTTTTTTCCCTACCACAAGCAATATTCTCTCAAGGATACTAATTCAGAAGTCAAACAACAAAAATCAGCGTTATATTTTCAAATTTTCACAGGACTAGTTTCGATCGTTTCTATAGTTTTACCGAACCACCATCCTCAGCTGCAAAAATTTGCGCTTGTTGTTGTTTGCGGCGTGTTATTGTGTCTCTCAAGCATGTTTTACTATAAGCAGGGATCAAGGTGTATAATAAATTATCCCAATGGAATAAATATTGCAATATTTTGCACGCACATATAGCGTGCAAGCAATATTAAATTTCGCAGTGGCTAATCGCACCGACGGTGAGAATCCGCGATTTAAGTGCTCTGATGCGCCACTGAGTGGCTAAAAGGTGGAAACATTAAAAATCGGTATTTACGTTTGACAATGCTGCGTAGTTTGTAAAGCGTGTTGTGATCGAAAAGTAATTAAACGTTTATTTTTTATTGTTGTGGCCGTTATGTATAACTTAGAAAGAAGTACAGACCACACGTTTTCTTGTGTACCCCAGTGTAAATCACGAGCTTGCAAGGAACCTTCAGTTATGCTTCCATCGCATTCTTGGTTCGAAAAATATATCGAACGAGATAGCAAAACGAAGAAAGGAGAGGATTCGAGTATTTCGAATTGGAAAGAAAGTTGGACGTTATATGAACGTTGTAATGTATTTTGCAGTAATTTACAAAACAGACAATCTTCTTAGTAGAAAATAAATTTTATTTCTAGTTCTCGGTGATAGACAAATTTTATACAATTCTTAAGTGGCAAAATTTTAATACTACTCCTAGCTGCAAAATCTTCAGAATACCAAATCTTTTCTTAACTCTTTGGCATCGAAAATGCCCGTAGCGCCCGTTCATTCAGGCAACGGCAAACCGCCCCAACGCCTCGTTTATTTTCTACCTAGTTCTTTCCCCTCCACGTTAGTGTATGGCTCATTGGTTTCGCGAGTTGTTAAAAGACATGTCAATCTTTCTTTTGAAGCAAATAAAGGAGAAATACGGAAAGCTATTGACGTTCGCAGGTGCAATCCGGCCCTAAGGTGAAACTGCGCACAATGGATGAATGGATGAAACCGCAAAAGGGGGAAAGGAAAACTATTCCAAGACAAATTCGTAAACACGGGCGTTTTCGATGTTTGTTGAAAACAGATTTGGTCGTCTCTCGATGCGAAAGAGTTAAAACAATATCTCTTGTTGCTGAGTAACGGTTTGATACAAATATGGCGTTGCCACTTCAACAATAATTATATTTATTTATTAAATAACAAGATATTACAACCTCTCCCCCCCTCCAGATAAACTTTAATTTATATTTTTAAAATTAAAGTTTACGGGTTTTTTTTTTCTTTTCAAAACAACAATATCAGCAAAATACAGAATTGAAATACAAGATATAACATAATAAAGATACACTGAGGAAAGAGAAGAAGGAACAAATATTTTTTTATTATATAGAGAAGAAACAATTATTTAATCAGGCCAGGGATTACGACTTAATGCGTCTACATTTTTATGGTTTTTACCACTTTGATGAACGATCGTGTAATTGTAGGGGGTGTAGTACTAGTGCCCATCTCATAAGTCGTGGATTTAAACTCACATTATTTTTGAGCCAAACTAAGGGATTATTATCGGTCATGATGAGGAATTTAGTATGCCCGTCTAAATAACATTGAAGTTTCTTTACAGCAATATTATGGCGGTGCATTCCTTTTCTGTGGTAGAGTACTTTTTTTCAGTTTCTGTAAACTTCTTACTGAGGTATAATACTGGATGTTCATTGTCTCGTTCATCTTTTTGAGCTAAAATGACACCCATACCAGAGTTTGACGCATCAGTTTGCAAAATAAACTCCTTATTGAAATCAGGTGCATGTAGTATAGGCCTTTGAGACAGTTTCTCCTTTAGCTCTTCAAATGCTTTTGTGCACTCTTTGTTTCAATTTATTTTCCCTTTCTTTAAGTTTCCTTTCAAAGTTTCTGTTAAAGGTGCTGCGATAGATGAGAACATGGGAATGTAATGATTATAATATCCCGCTAATCCTAAAATGTCTGACTTGACTTTTTGTGGATGGCATTGGAAAATCAAGAATAGCTTTTACTTTCACTTCACTTGGCATTCTTATACCACAACCTACAATATGTCCTAGATATTTTACTTTATCTTGAGCAAATTTACATTTTATTGGTTTAATAGTTAAACCAATAAAATGTAAATTTGTTTTAAATAGGTTTAATAGAGTCCTTTATTTTGGACAAAACGGCTTTCAGGTGACTTAGATGTTCTTCCCAGGTGTTTGAAAAGATTGCCACGTCATCTAAATATGGAACAGCAAAGTTTTCACAACCGTGAAGGATTTCGGCCATCATTTTACTAAATGAAAATGGTGCATTTTTAAGTCCGAAAGGCATCCGTAGAGGTCTAAATGTTCCAAAACTTGTAACAAAAGTGGCTAATCTTTGAGCATTAGGTGTTAAAGGTATTTGCCAGTATCCCTTTGTAAAATCCAAAAGAGTTATATATTTTGCGCCTGCTACCGTTTCTACTCGTTGTTCGATGTTAGGCAAGGGGAAGAATTGTATTTTAGTCAATTTATTCAATTTTCTTAAATAGTCGATACAAGGTCTTGGACCCCTCCCTGCTACTTCTACTAAAAACATGGAGAAATGTAATCTGAATCTCCTATTTCAATTATTTATGCTGAAAGCATTTTATCGATTTCTTTTTTAATATATCCGTTTGTCTAGGAGACATTCTGTATGGTTTACAGTGGATTGGGGTGATTTCTGTCAATTGAATATCATGCGTTATTAAATGAGTTTTTCCAGGTTATTAGAAAAAGATTTTTGAAAACTTCAGCAGCATATCATGCAATTCTTGAATCTGTTGTTCATTTAGCTTATCACTTAAGGAGCTGTTTTCTTTGATGTCCTCAAAATCGAACAATGTTGGTTCAGAGTCAATTTTTGGGAAATTTTCCTCCATATCATCAATTTCAGACTGATCTTCTATAATCATAAGGTTAACTGATTGTGCTCGTCTATGATAGTGTTTTAGCATGTTAACATGGTAGACTTGGTTAAAGTCATTTTTTTCTTCGAAACTCACAACATAATTAGTTTCGGATAATTTCTTCTCAACCTTCCCAGGACCTTTCCATTCAACTGCTAGTCTGTTGGGTTATTCGTTGATACAACTAATCTAAATCCCTTCAGAGAATTCTCTTTTTATAGCTTTACGATCGTACCACAACCTTTCTTTTGGTTTGCATTTCCAGCATTTTATTTGTAGCCAGCTCTTTGCATCTTTTTAACCGATTTATCATTGAAAAAACGTATTCAACAACATTATTTCCTTCGTCTTCAGGTTCATCCATTGTTCAATATAATAATTATAGGTGTTCTAAGATTTCGACCATATACTAATTCTGCAGGTGTAAATCCGTACTCTCGTGCGTTATTGTTCTTAAAGCAAATAGAGCTGCGGGAACTTGTTTCTCCCCACTCAGGGGCTGCTTCGATACATAAACTTTTAAAATTCGTTTAAATTGTTAGGTGAATGAAATCTTTCAACAGGGTTGCTCTGCGGATGGTGTACTGAGCTTCTAGTTACTTTTATTCCAAATTTTTCTACAAATTCTATGGCTAGATTGCTCATAAAGGAGGTACCTTGATCAGTTTGTATTTCTTTCAGGAAACCCATTCTACTAAATATTTGTAACACGGCTTCAATTACTGACGTTGTGCCAATATTAGGAACAGGTACAGCATCCGGATATTTTGAAGCTAAACAAATAGCTGTAATTAAATATCTATTGCCATTCGGTGTTATTGGTAAAGGACCGCATGCGTCAAAGTTAATTTTTGAAAATACTTCTGCAATAATTGGTACTAAAGTCAAAGGTGCTTTGGCTTTATTATTAGATTTTCCCACTCTTTGACATGGATCGCAAGTTTTTACATACTGTTCTATTTCTTTATAGCAATTAGGCCAGTAAAAGTATCTTGTTAATCTATCTTTAGTTTTGACGACGCCTAAATGTCCAGATGTGCTATCATGACATAATGACTTTATTTGATCCCTATATTTTTCAGGAATAACAATTAATTCCCTTTCATTTCCATTTTTATCTATTTTCCTTTTCACCAACAATCCATTTTCTTTTACTTTGAAATCATTTGTCTTGCTGGAATTTTCATTTTTAGCTTCGTTAAGCAATGACGCTAGATCTCTGCTTTGATGCTGAGATTCAATTAATTCCTTTGAATTAACATTAATCACTTTCTTAAGTTCCTTGTCTTCCTCATCAGCTTGAGGTAAAATACCTTCGTCAGTTTCAACAAACTTCAGTTCTTCTAGTTTTTCTCTATTTCAGTTTCTCTGCTTCGATCATCTTCATGAGATCTTTTTACTTGAGATCGTGTCAAAACTGCATTTATTTTTTCTAAATTTAAGAATGATTTACTTTTGAACAATTAGGCAGTTTTGTTACCCAATACATATCTGCCTGGATCATTTGTAACAACAGCTGCCTTTGTCTTTATATGACCAAGTTCGCAATTAATTTCAACTTCCGCTAACGGTAGACACACTAAATGGTCATTTATAAGATATTGTACCCAGACATGTTCTCCAGTCATTTTTGCGTTATCTATGTATTTCCGAGAAATAACATCAACAGTGGCTCCTGTGTCTCGAAGAATAGGCATTTCATGCCCATTAACTAAACCGTTAATTGTATATGTCTCTAACAAATCATCATTCGAAGATACGCAATTTACCTTTTCATTTGGTTTTAAGCGAGGACACT